TTTGAGATCTAATTCTGTTACGATAACAATTAGAATCTAGTACAGCTCATAATAAAATCTAGTACAGCTAATCATTATATTTTTGCATAATTACTTTTAGAAGCTTCTTTATCCTTTGTCATCTTGTGCAGGTGGTAGTCTTAACTCTTTAGTCATCAAATTTCTTGGGCCTTTTGATTGTTCTTTTGGGTCTGTTTGCATCTGTTGTTATTAATGGATCTTTTATAATGCTGTTGGGTTTTGGTTCTGCATTTGGGCTAACAACCCCTGGTGCATGAAAAGACACCTTGTCCTCAAGGTGATAGTCAGAACAGAGAGTATCCCAAGATTCCCAACTAGTTTCTTCTGGTGGTAAACCTGACCACTGAACCAGGGCCATTTTTGTGGGGGGATTAGTAGATGTATCAAGTTTGGTGTCAAGTATTGTCAAGGGTGTAATGATAGGGTGGTGATCAATGGAAAGTGGTGGAATAGTAGTGATTGAAGGAATGGGGCCGTGGTGTAATTTGAAGAGTGAACAGTGGAAAACAGGGTGAATTTTGGAATGGGCTGGTAGATCAAGTTTGTAAGCAACCTTTCCAATTTGTTGAAGTATCTTGAAGGGACCATAGAATCTGTTGGACAGTTTGGAGTAAGATGTTGGAGTTGCAATTTTCTGTCGATATGGACGAAGACGAACATAAACATATGATCCTTCTTCGAATGTGATGTCTCTGCGGTGTTTGTCAGCATGTTGTTTCATGGCAATTTGAGATTTGAGGATTGTTGCTTTTAATTTTGTGATTAGTTGTTCGCGGCAACTTAGTAAGGAATCTACAGCTTCAAGTGAGGATTGGCCTTGTATGTATTGAGGTATGGAGGGTGGTTCTTTGCCATAAGTAATCTGATATGGTGTGAGACCTGTGGTAGAGTAGACAGAAGTATTATGGGACCATTCAGCCAAGGAAAGGTAATTGGACCATTGAGATGGTTTATGGTGAACAAAGGAACGCAAATATTGTTCTAGCACTCGGTTAAAAACCTCTGTTTGACCGTCTGTTTCAGGGTGGTAGGAGGTACTCATGCGCAACTTGGTGCCACTAAGAGAGAAGAGTTCGCGCCAAAATTTGCTAATAAACAGGGGGTCCCGGTCAGAAACTAGGCTCCGAGGCATGCCATGTAATTTGCATACAATTTCAAAGAACACAAGGGCCACCTTATGGGCTGTAAAATTAGGAAGCAGTGCAGCCATATGTACACCTTTAGAGAGGCGGTCAACGACTACTAGTATTGCTGTGTGACCCTTTGATATTGGTAATCCGGTGATGAAGTCAAGGGATAGATCTTCCCAAATGGCTTGAGGGATGGGGAGGGGTTGTAAGAGTCATGGGGGTTTTTTTGTTTCATATTTGACTTGTTGGCACGTGGTACAGTTTTTGACAAATTACTGTACCTGGTTTCTCATGCCTTCCCACCAAAAATTTGCTTTCAATCGTGCCAATGTTTTGGCAAAGCCCATGTGACCAGTTGTAGGGGAACAATGGAATTCCTCTAAGAGTGTGTTACAAAAGGGAAGGGAGTGGTCTAGCCAAATGCGGTTATTGAAGAGAATAAGGCCTTGGTGTATTTTATGGTTCGGAAATTGGGAGGGTGTTTGTGATATTTGATTGTATAGAGAGGTGAATTGGGTGCTAGCAACCAATGCTAGTTTGAGTTGCTCTAAAAACAAAAAATTAGGCATAGAGAGAGAGAGAGAGATGCGTACCTGAGGTTGTGTCTGGAATGCGAGAAAGGGCGTCTGCCACAGTGTTAGATTTCCCTGTCTTGTACTGAATCGTGTAATCATATCCCATGAGTTTGGCTAAATACATTTGTTGCTCAGGGGTTTGGATGGTTTGTGTGAGGAGTTCTTTGAGGCTTTGGTGATCTGTGTAAATTGTGAATTGATGACCCAGAAGGTATTGACGCCATTTTTTTACGGCAGTGGTGATAGCATGTAGTTCTCGGACATAGGTGGAAGCCTTTTGAAGTTTGGGACAAAAAGGTTTGCTGAAGTAAGCAATGGGATGTGACTTTTGCATCAAGACTGCCCCCATGGCAAGGCCTGAAGCATCAGTTTCGAGGCAAAATGGTTGTGTGAAGTCGGGGAGGGCTAAAGTGGGAGCAGAGGTTGTGGCAAGTTTAAGGGCATTAAATGCGATACTAGCTTCAGGGTTCCATTGGAAGGCGTCTTTTCGAAGTAAAGAAGTGAGGGGTGAGGCGATGGAGGCATACCCTTGGATAAATTTGCGATAGAACCCGGTGAGTCCCAAGAATCCGCGTAATGCAGTGATGTTTTTGGGGAGAGGCCAGTCAAGTATGGCTTGGATTTTGGATGGTTCTGGTTTAACACCTTCAAGTGAGATAATGTGTCCTAGATAGTTCAAGCTACGTTGTGCCAATACACATTTGGATTCTTTTAGGAAGTATTCACCTTGCAATAGAGTGATGAAACGCGTTCAAGGTGTTGGATATGCTCTTCAAGTGTTTTGCTATAGACGAGAATGTCGTCAAAAAACACAGTGACAAATTTACGCAAGAATGGTTGTAGTAATGTGTTCATTGCGGCTTGGAAGGTGGAAGGTGCGTTGCAAAGGCCAAATGGCATAACGCGAAATTCATAGTGTCCTTGGTGGGTTCTGAAGGCTGTTTTTGGAATGTCAGTTGGGTTCATCCGAATTTGGTGAAATCCTTGTCGGAGGTCGAGTTTAGAAAACCAGGATGCATTACCTAATTCATCAAGCAATTCTTCAATAGTTGGCATTGGGAAACGGTCACATACTGTGATGGCATTAAGAGCTCTATAATCGACGCAGAAGCGCCAACCTCCATCTTTCTTTTTGACAAGAAGTACAGGAGATGAGAAAGGGCTTTGACTTGGTTGTATGAATTTTTTATCAAGCATGGTTTGTATTTGGTTTTCAATTTCATTCTTTTGGAAATAGGGGTAACGGTAAGGGCGGGTGTTGATGGGGTTAGAGTTGGGTACGAGATTAATATGGTGATCAATGTTTCGTTGGGGAGGAAATTTTGGTGTTGTGTTGAAGAGGTTTGAGAAACGGAGAAGTAGGGAATGGATTTTAGGGATAGGGTGTGAAGGAGTAGGGTCTGATTTTGGTTCAGGATTTGTGGGTAACAATTGAAGGTGAAATAGTTCAGCGGTGGAGTGGGTTTGGATTAATCTCTTAACTTGTTGGGCCGAGGCTTGAGTAATTTGGGCCTTTTTGTTAGCCGTGAGGGTGATGATTTTGTTTTGGTGGGTGAAGGATATGCTGAGGTTTATGTAGTCCATGAGAATAGGCCCAATAGTTTGTAACCAAGGGGCACCCAAAACAACATCAGCGCCACAGAGAGGAAGCATGTAGAAATCAACCGAGAATTGTTCAGATTGTAGAGAAATGGGAATACCGGCGCAAAAACGATTGCAATCAAGGGTATCGCCATTGCCGACCATGACTTTGAGTGTAGTGGTAGGGACTGAAGGGAGCTCAAGGAATTTGGCGATGCGATCTTGTATGAAGTTGTGTGTGCTACTGTCGTCGATTAGTACAGTGACTGGGTGGTTGGAGATGCGACCATTGAGGCGGATTGTGGAGGCGGTGGTACAGCCAGAAAGGGCATGCAAGCTGATTTGAGCTTCAGTAGTGTAATCAATCGCAGTGGTGGAGGTATCTGAATCCTCAAATTGATGGTGGTTGTTAAGAAGATTCGGAATGGAATCCGGTGGTTCCTCTGTGATGAGGAGGAAGAAGCGTCCTTTACATTTGTGTTGAGGGGTGAATGTTTCATCGCAGTTGTAGCAGAGACCCTTTTCCCGACGTGAAGCCATTTCTTCTGGAGATAATTTTCGATAATTGAGTCGGTTGGGTTTAGGGGTGGGTAAGAGGGGTGGAAGATTGGAGGTTGGTGTTGTTGTTGTGGGTTGTGGTGAAGAAGATGAAGCCGAGGTAAGTGATTTGGGTTTGAAAAAACGGCGTCGTTCTTCTATCTTATCTTCTTGTAATTTGACAAGGGTTGTGGCTTGGGTTAAGGTGTAAGGGAGGAGGGCTTGGACTTCCCTGCGAATCTCAGGTGAGAGTCCAGAGATGAAACAACTGAGAAGGAATTGTTGTGGTAGGCCAACGATGCGATTGGCGAGTTTTTCGAATTCGGTGAGGTATTGATTTACAGAGGATTTTTGTGTGAGCTTAAAAAGTGAGCTTGAAGGGTCGTCGTAATAGGAAGGTGCGAAACGTGTTTCGAGTGCTTGAAGGAAGCCGGTCCAGGTGGTGATTTGGTTGTTTCGAAACATCCATTGATACCAACTCAAAGCTGGTCCATCCATATAAAATGAAGCTACTGTGAGTCTTTCCTCTTCTGGTGTTTGATGATAATCGAAGAACTGAGAAATTTTAAAGATCCAACCTGGAGCATCAGTTCCGTTAAATTTCGGCACGTCAAGTTTCATGCGAGGCATAGGGTATGTGAGGTTCGTGTTGGTTGGTGTTGGTGTGGGTGGTGGTGGGTTAGCGGTGGTGAGGACGGCGATTTGTTCAGCTATTGCGTCGATTTTGGATGAAAGATCATCCAATCTCTATGCGTTTGTGGGTCTGGCAGCCATGGGAGGTGAGCAACAAAGATGAAAGCACCATATTGTTGGGGATATGATCCTTGATTTAGTAGGACAAGGGAATCCTCCTTAGAATTTAGAGAGATAAGAGATTTATAATTTGTTCTGATCCCCATTCAAGTAAAAGGAATACAATATATATAGATCTTAGTTTGAGATCTAATTCTGTTACGATAGCAATTAGAATCTAGTACAGCTCATAATAAAATCTAGTACAGCTAATCATTATATTTTTGCATAACAACTTTTAGAAGCTTCTTTATTCTTTGTCATCTTGTGCAGGTGGTAGTCTTAACTCTTTAGTCATCAAACTTCTTGGGCCTTTTGATTGTTCTTTTGGGTCTGTTTGCATCTGTTGTTATTAATGGATCTTTTATAATGCTGTTGGGTTTTGGTTCTGCAGTTGGGCTAACATAATCACTGAATCAATTACACGTGGTAAGCAAATTTTCAAAAAAAAAAGATAAAAAGAAATCAAACCAAGTAATTGAAGAAAGAGAACGTTGAGTTTCAGATCTTTATTTCTCTTCTTCTCTCTTTCTGACGCATAGAACAGAGTATCCATTTCTTGCTTCTTCTTCCTTTTCTCTTGCCATCACAACTTTTTCTCCCTTTTTCTTCTTCCTCCAGAAAAAACACCTGCATAGTCATATGAAGCAAACAACACAATAAAAAGGGAAAAGGAAACCTGGACTGGATCATGGTCGTGGAAGTTTCGGAGATCGCCGATGGGAGAGTTGTGTCGCGTCATTTGCGATGGTGTTGTGGTGATGATGTTGCCACGCAAAGGTATTGGGAGTGGTGATCAATCTAGGTAGCACTAGCGACAGACAGATGGTGTTGTGTCGGAGCACGGAGATCAGAGGTTGGTCTGGCATTGAGAGTTGTGACAGTGTTACGGACCCGGTGTTGGATTGAAGGCTGACGGCGGGTTAAAGGAAGCTCATCGGAGATTTGCGCTCCGAGTGATGCTCAACTTTGGCCGGCACTTTACGAACGACCACGGTTCTTGCGTACGCGTGGGATCTGCGAACGCGGAATTCGTGACCGGTGAGCGGTTGTGCTTCGAAGGAAACCACTTATTGTTATTCCTCCCCTGTGTTATTTCTTGACTTTTTGAATCATTGTTCCGTTTAGATGTAAAATGTTATTGTTGCTGTGAATTTTTATCTGCAGGTTTGTGTTTTGAGTTGAAGATTTATGATGAACAAAAACATTTTGACAATTGAGGTTGTAGGAGGGTGAAATTTGTCAAAAGTGTTGTTGGGTTTGGATTTATTGCAAAATGCTTTTACAGGTTTTGAATGTGAATTTTATGTACAAAATCAAGCTTAAAACCAAATTTTCAAATGTAAGAAAACTGTGTAGAGTTTTGCGTGAAAAAACATGTAGCGGACTGTGTTAAAAATTATTAGTGTATGAAAATGGCCTTGGATGATATGTAGTAAAAGTAGGTATCATGTGTGTGAAGAACATGTGCGTCAGATGAAAAAGTTGCCTCCAAAAGATTTTTTTTTTAAAAGGCACTATTAGATAATATCATCGAATGGTCAAAAATAGATTTAAGAAAAAGAAGAAAAAACACCATCTGATATTTGTCATATGGTGTAAAAAAACAAACAAATTGAAAAAGTGAAAAATAAAGGGCAGCCTCATATATGAATCATCGGCCAAAAAATAGATTTTGAAGAAAGTATATGAAGAAAGAGGTTTATAAGATCGTGAAAGTGACTCATGGAATTTGTGAAATTGTAGATAATTGTGTGTAGAGAAATTATAAGAGATTGTTGATGTCTTGAACTGTCAAAATAGAAGTCTATTTATAGACTAAAAAATTAGGTTAAAACACCACAAAAGAAGATTATCCTACATAAAAAAAGTCTAAAGTTTTCTGATTCTATCTTGGTCAGCAAGATTAAAAATCTGAACCAATTTGTGTCCACATGCAAGATACAATTTGAAAAAGATTTCGTATGAAAAATATTTTATTTATTTTTGGATTTTTAACTATTTTTTTGCATACGATAACAATTTTAATAAAAAAACAATATTTTTAAATATAATAAATAAAATAAAACGAAAATAGTAATTTAAATAATAAAAAAATGTAATTTTTGTGATTTTGAAAATAGAAATAAAGTTAGTAACAAATAAAAGGAAAAATATTTTTAAAAAAGGGACCAATAAGACTTGAACAAGTGGACTTATGCTTGCAAGCCTTATCTCCTTACTAATTGTTATGTCTCATTTATTCAAGATACAGAGGCACTTGAAAGCATATGAAGGGTGAGAAAATATTTGCTATTTAAGAAATACAAATAATTTAAAGTAAACTATTATATATTTTTAAATAAGCAAAAGTAAATTAATATTGAAATGTTAGTATAAATAAACCTAAATTTTTTTATAAAACCCAAGTTTGAAACAATTTGACTGTTTGAAATGGAGCGGGTAAATTTGGGGTATGACAGTTGCCCCTATTTAATTACACTTCGATTGAAGGCGCGAGAATACACAATTCTCGCGCATTCAGATCAGAGGGTTATTGATCGTACCTGACCAGAAGGAATCGTTGATGGCCTACAAGCTTGAATGAGACGACTGTTGAAGTGAATGGGGGATACCTGCAAGGTACTCTGATGCCAAAGTAAGAGTCTAGATAATTAGAGTGCAAGTAATAGAAGTGAGGTTGAATGAATGAATACCTGACCCTCTCATGAAATAGAGTATGTATAGCCTCCAACGCTGGGCCAAGATCCATGTATTGGGCCAAGTGATTATGGCCCAATAACAAGGACTTCCAGGGTTACATGGGTAATGGGATCCAATACGTGCCCCCTCCCTGGTAAAGTGCCTCGAGAATTTAGGAACAGTGGATCCATTATTCTCGGAGGGCATGTGGTGGTTGATGGTGACTGTTGACCATGCTCCTTAATGGGAACATGGGGGAAATCCCCACAGTTATCTGACTTGGGCCTGAAGCTATTGGGCTATAGGCAGAGGTGATGGATTGAGCCTGCCCATCTGTGGGCCAAGTGTCAGCCCGGTCCATAACAGTTATTAAATAATGGAAGACCCCAAAATTTGACCAAAGACTTTTTGAAAACATTTGAAAAATAGTTTGAAAATAAGCAAAGTAAAAATGTGACAATGGGCAAGGATGACGTAGATAACTCATCAGTGTCTAGAGCATGGATTAACATATTTCTCACTGCCAGGGGACTAAACGGATAAATATGAGAAATGATGCAAATGCTGAATTGGGCACTGCCAAGGGACTAAACGGATCGGTTCAAAAAAGTTGTAACTTTGAATAATTTATTACTGCTCAGGGACCAATGTAACAAGATATATCGCAAATTTTACATATTTATCACTGCCAGGGGACTAAATGGATAAATAGTACAGTATCAATGTAAATAACTTATTACTGCTCAGGGACCAATGTAACAAGCTATATCGCAAATTCCGCACATATATACCACAACCTAGAGGGTACATAACGTATGTATCAAATCTATATTTGCCAAGGGACTAATCCAATAGAGTTGCAAAGGTTTGAAAATAACTTACTAACGCTTTGGGACTAACATAGTAAGTTGTATCGTAGATTCGCAACATTTATCACAACATAGGGGATAAATGGCGTGGTATCAATCTTTTTTATGCCAAGGGACTAATCCAATAAGATCGAAAGTTTGGAAGATAACTTATCATTGCTCAAGAACTTAATGTTACATCCAATTTGAATATCTACCACTACCTAGGGGGTAGATAACGCATGTATCAACTCTATTTATGCCAAGGGACTAATCTAATAGAGCCTGAAAAAAGGTCTGATAACAAACTAGCTAAAGCTTCGAGACTAACATGGCAAATTGTATTGCAGACTCACATATTTATCACAACCTAGGGGATAAATAATGTGAGTTCGGCGTTTGAATTTGAAATTTAATAGTTTGAAAATTGCATAACTAGGCTATGAATATGGACCATAGATATGCTGCCTAGTGTAATTTTGGTTCGCAGTACCTATAAATATTATGTCTGTTCTCAACCAAGGTATTTGATCGAAAAAATAGCAAGTGTACTATTTTTTCCCCTTGTAATAATAGGGAAATTCCCCGAATGTCGATCTCAAGGACTGCGTACAATTATCGAGTTCAATTCACGTTCAATTAAACAAAAGCTTAACTTTGGGATTTGGTTTTAGAAATTGTCACTTAAGAATAAGCAGAAATATAAATATGCTTTTTCACAGATATGATGAACATGCTAGAGTGTGGTGCGTAATTTGCCCTATAATGACCTTGAATCCTGATTTCTTTAACACATTCATAACATTCAACTACCATCCCTTTAGATTATTTTCTCCTAAGTCCTTAGTGAGAAAACTTTTAACCATCCATCCTAAATCCTAAGTCCTTATAGACATCTGATGGAGTCAAGCTTTTGTTTTATCAAGAGTGATCTGGTAACTACAAGGTATCCCTGGTCCTATGTGATATCTATTATAGTCTATTCATACAAAAACCTTAACAACCGCGGTCAAACTAGTTGTTAACTGTGAATCAATCCTAACTTGTATGATCAGGAAAGCATAAAAACATTGCACGATTAAATTGAATAAGAAAACAACTTTATTAAATAACTCAGAAATTCATAATCATTACAGATTCAAATTAGGGACACCCCCTAGCATTTGGGGGTTTATCCGTTCATATTATTCACGAGAATTGCAAAAATATAAGAATTAGACATTACAGGTGATGAAGGAACTTTGGTTTTAAGTCGCGTCCGCTCATGAAATATCTTTATTCTTCAAGAATCTCATATCCTCACTCCTAGACTCTGTAATTCGTTCTCTTCAACAAAAGTCCCTTAATTCCTCTTTCAACTTGGCTAAATAGTGAGAACAATCCATTTGTCTCGGTCAAAAATGCCCAAAAACGCCCATTTGGATCCCAAATAGTGAAAAATCATAAAAACACTTAAAATTAGCGTCATTGGCTGACACGGTCTGTGTCAAGCGACACAACTGCTCATGTTGGTCATCAGGATTTTTTTTGCTCCAGGCATGCTGACATGGCCTGTGTCAGGCGATACGGCCGCCCGTGTCAGCCCCTGTTTTCCATGTTTTCCAAGTCTTCTTCCTGACACGGCCCGTGTCAGGTGACACGACCACCTGTGTCAGGGCTCTTATAGCATTTCCTAAGAAACTTTGAATTATGCACTTTTTCGCCCTGATTTATCTTGTTTTATTCTTCTGAACTTGAAAACACTAAAACACAAAACCAAATATAATATGGTGGGAGAACTGGCCTTTTTTAGCGTTTTATCGCAAATGTGCGAATAGCTAGAGTCGCCACCGACTTTTCTTTTATCCAATATAAGGAAAGGGTGAAAAAAATAGGAAAGACCATTTAAGATTTTGAGCTCGGGGGTAGGTTATGAAAAGGGAAGGTGTTAGCACCCTTTTCATCCGTAGTTATCTAAGGGCTCTTAATTGCTTAGCTCACTTTGAAAAATTTGCTTTTTTTGTGTGTGATTTGTTTGAAAATATTTTGAAATTTGAATTTTGTAATAATTCTTGTATCAGTCCTCAAGAATGTGTACAAAGTGCTTCCTTGAAAATATTAGTTTGTGAAAAATGTTCGTGAGAATTTTTTTTGAAGAGATTGTGAGCAAGCGATTAACAATATTCTACCCACTCAAGGTCGTTCTTTGTATTTTTTCCTTCTCCTTTAGAGA